GCTACACCCTCCTTTCAGGGAGTTGGAGAGAGCAATAAGGTCTCCCCTCAGCCTCCTTTTCTCCAGGCTGAACACCCCCAGCTCCCTCAGCCTCTCCTCACAAGACTTGTGCTCCAGACCCCTCACCATCTTCGTTGCTCTTCTCTGGACCTGCTCCAGCAGTTACAGGACTGTGAAGACAATGAAATTACAGGACTTAAAAAATGTGCAGAGGTGTTCAGAAATTCTATAGAGAGATATAGGTCTGTATATAAAAAAAATAAAAATAAAAATCAACCACCAACATATTTCCCTCCGTGGGATATTTGGAGAAAAATCTCTTGCTGTGAATGAACCCTCTTTATTCAGTTGCTGTTTCAGTCCCTGCCCCTGGCTCTGCCTCTGGCAAACTCATTCTGAAGCTGCAGCTGCCCTCAACTTCGGTTATTCAGGGCTCAGTTGGGACCACGTAATACTAATAACCTTCCTGAAATGAACTGACTTCCCAATTGCTACCCTGGCCTCTCTGCTCTTCCCTAAAGGTAGAGGAGGTCAGTCTGCCTTGCGTTTTGCTCGTTTGAGGATGGAGAAACGACACAACTACGTGAGGAAGGTAGCGGAGACAGCTGTGCAGCTCTTCATTTCTGGAGACAAGGTGAACGTGGCCGGTCTCGTTTTAGCTGGATCGGCTGACTTCAAAACTGAATTAAGTCAATCCGACATGTTTGATCAGGTGAGTGACCTTTTTCTGAGCAGAGCCCCAGCGTTTAAGCTGTCAGTGATATTGGCAGCAGCTCTGCTACAAGATGCATCTCAGGGAGGAGTGTAACCTCGGTGTCTTAAGTGATTTGATCAAAGCTAAATAAATCTGTTGTATCCTAACGAGATCTCCATTTCCTAATGCCTCCTGCAAGGATGTAAGATCTCCTTTTCTTAATAACAATACTCATAAGCAATCTGTCCTCTCTGGTTTGGAGCTGGCATTCACATTCTTTGTGTTCCCAAATCTAAAGTAGGAGCTTTACTGGAACTAAACGCCACTAAAACTAATCTCCCTGCCCCTGTTGCCTGAAAACTGTGCTTCAATATTAAGTGTTCAGAGGTCCCTCTGTCTTGGAACCTCTGCTTGCAAGTGAAACAAAGCAGATTAATGCTGTGGCTCTTGCCAGGCACTTACTCTGATGGTGCTGTGAAGTGGTCCTGTGGCAGTGCTGTGTAACAGACTCCTTTTCACGTTTCCTCTTCTCCTTGTTCAGCGGTTGCAATCCAAAGTGCTCAAACTAGTTGACATTTCATACGGAGGAGAAAATGGATTCAATCAAGCAATTGAGTTGTCAACTGAGGTCCTCTCCAATGTGAAATTCATTCAAGAGAAGAAACTAATAGGTACGTGGCTCCACGCTCAGCCTCCTTCTCCCGAGCCAAATATGCTTGACTGAATATGCTGATGCCTCTGTGTGCTGCCTCAGCTGGGCAGAGCATGACTTGTAGTGAGCCTTTCTGTCACCTGAACACCTCAGATGCTGCTGGACTTAATGAGAATTCAAGGAGTGGGGATTTTTGTTGATTTTCCTTTTTTTTCCCCCCACAATATTTCTTGTGGCTTCTCTGTTTATCTTTTCATTAGAGATCACCTTCATTTCAGGCTTTCTGGTGACATTTGGGTGGGAGGGAGAAAAAATATCTCCTTGGATCGTTTGCATCGAGAGTTAAGATTTAATTTGTGTTAAGGTGGCAGTAGAAAGTGATCCCTTGTTTGACTGTCAGCAGACACATCACTAATTGCAAGCCCAAGAGGGCAATACAAACAGTAGCTACCTTACACTGAGGAGAGTGAAGTTAAGTAGTGCCTGCTGGTGGGTTAATCCCATTGATTGTCTCATAGCGAAGGTAGCCCTTTCAGTGGGGTGAGATTCCTGACAGGGAGTGGAGTTTTCTCCATCCTCACTTCCTCCAGATTCCTGACTCACTGATGGAGTTGACTTTCTGCCCATGAGTGTTCTAAATTACAGTCTTCGACGTGTTGGCACATACCTTGCTTCCTTCAGCAGCATCGCAGTCTCCTTTTCCAGTTTCTTCCTGCATTCCACTCAGATTTGTTAAAAATCCCTGTGGCATGATCAGTGTTTGTGACAATCTCTCTCTTTATACCTTGGCTGCAGGACGATACTTCGACGAAATCAGTCAGGACACGGGGAAGTACTGTTTTGGCGTTGAAGATACATTAAAAGCTTTGGAAATGGGAGCAGTAGAGATACTGATAGTCTATGAAAATCTGGATATCATGAGATACGTTCTGCACTGCCAAGGCACGGAGGGTAGGTAGCGCTTCTCCGTGAGGGTTTAACACCTAAGCCTTGGATAGATTAACGCTGGAGGAGTTCCCAAAGCAGACCTTGAAGGGCCTGATCAAGGGAATGTTGCGTGGGCAGGTCACTAACTTGTGGCTTCCCAGCTACTTGGCCAGGGGGGAAAAGTCTGAAAGGAGCAGGCGTCCGCTGCGGAGAGAGAATGGCCGTGCTGGGGGGGCAGTTTGGCACAGAGCTGGCATGAAACCTGCCTTGCAGTTGTGGAAGTATAAATGTGATACCCAGAGGGGAGACTGGCTTGACCCTTATGGCCAGAAACACAATTTTTACTGACTACAGACCATATGCCTGCAGCAGGACTTCTGCCTGTTTGCCCTTTTTGGTTTCCTGTAGAAATTCAGCTGGAAAGAAGGCAATGTCAACGGCCAAACCCTCTTTTGCTGTCCTCAACCTACATCTGGGAGTCTTGTCCAACGTAATGTTTCTTTCTCTCTCTCCCTTCACAGAGGAGAAGATCCTGTATTTGACACCAGAGCAAGAGAAGGATAAATCCCACTTCACAGATAAAGAGGTATTTCAGCTCTGGGGCTTGGAGATTTTATTCTGAGGGTACTGGTGCAGCGTTCTGAACATCTGAGCTTAGTTTGTCACAACCACATGAGCACGATGACCTCTGTGGCACTCGGAGGAAACTCCAAGCCTGTGGCTCTTCCTGTTCACCTTCAGCGTAACCCCTGGCTTCTAGACTTGCTTTTCTCCAGTCTCTCCTGCTGCCAATTCCAAGGTTGTGTAAATGAGTTGAAGCGACAGGCAATACGACTGCCCCCAAACCACCCACCGGAAGAGTTTGGTAGCCACCAGGCTGAGGTTCCAAGCCATTACTCCCTGCTTACTGTGCAATGATTTGGTCAATACAAACCAACTGTCAGGCTAGAAACTATTACAGAGATTTAAGTGCAAGGGAGCGTTTGCTTCTCTATATTTGAGAAGTGGATCTGTCACTCGCTGCCTATGAGTTTCTTGCCTCTACAGGTCAAAAACCCCTGGTGGGGCTGGGATCTGTAGTACTTGGCAGATCAAGGTGGGTGAAAAATCTGTCCCGTGCAAAAATGGTGGTCCCCTCTGTCTCCCATTAGGACTCCAGGGTAGCTGTTTCCAGCTGCTTTCCCTCCTGCTGGGCTAATTGCTAATTCCCTCTGTGCCTGGAAGGGTTACAGTGGTATCTGTAATGAGGTGGTGCTTCTATGCCAATAATCACTTCACCTTCTGCTTAGAAAAGGATGCTTTTTGCCTCTATTTGCCTCGATCAGTATTTCTTAAAGTAAATGGTGGCTGGTAAGATGAGTGGTGACAGACTGTTTGTAGGGTATGAAGTAAATCTGAAAAACCAGTGACAACTAAGAGTGTAGCATGAGGTAACAGTTGAGCAGAGGAATAAAAAAAGGTGTTTTCTCTCCTGCTTCTGCACTAACTTTGGTAGTAAGGAGGTTCAAAGCGAGGAGTCTCATTGTTTAAGCTAAAGACAACTTTTGGTACGAATTTTCTCATTGCCTAACATGCCATGACCATAACCTTTTTTTTTCTTTTTCCTCTCCAATGTCTCCACAGACTGGCCAGGAACACGAACTGATAGAAAGTATGCCCCTTCTGGAGTGGTTTGCAAACAACTACAAGAAATTCGGAGCAACATTGGAAATTGTTACAGACAAATCACAGGAAGGATCCCAATTTGTGAAAGGATTTGGAGGAATCGGAGGTAAACTGCAAGACAAAAACGTGTTTGTCTTGTCTTTTTTTTTAATGGTTGATTTGATAATCTGGTGCCAACACAAGTGGAAGGCTAGAGAGATTAATCTTACCCCTATTAGTCAGGATATCAGTTTGAGAAATGATCGGAGGGTGCTTGGAGGGTGGACTGTCCTTCTTTCCAGCTGCTGAATTTCAGAAGGGCCGTGAACTGCTCCGTTCTGTCTCTGCTTTGTTGTTGTTTTGGGGCAGACTCTGCCCTGCTGTGTAGAAGTGGTGTGTGACAAACACCAGCCTAGTTTCTGAAGCAGCTGGATATCTGTTACCCATCTCTCAGAACGTCCCTGTACTTTGCTGTCTGGTCTCCTGCTTCTTTGCAGAAGAAAAGTATTTTTAGCCCAGCCTGATGGAGAAATGAGGCTCCTAAAATCCTTCAGTCCTTCTCTTGAGCTCACTGACCAGTTTCAGCTAAGTCTGGCAGAGGTGCAGATCATAGAATCACAGAATGGTTTGGGTTGGAAGGGACCTTAAAGATCAGAGAGTTTCAACACCTCCCACCACACCAGGTTGCTCCAAGCCCCCTCCAACCTGCCCTTGAACCCCTCCAGGGATGGGGCAGCCACAGCTTCTCTGGCCAACCTGGGCCAGGCTCTCACCACCCTCACACCAAACAAGTTCTTCCCCACAGCTCAGCTCCATCTCCCCTCTTGCAGGGTCAAACCCTTCCCCCTCCTCCTAGGGCTCCCCTCCCTCATCCAGAGTCCCTCCCCATCTCTCCTGGAGCCCCTTGAGGGACTGGAAGAGGCTCTAAGGTCTCCCTGGAGCCTTCTCTTCTCCAGGCTGAACCCCCCAACTCTCTCAGCCCCCCCTCCCAGCAGAGGGGCTCCAGCCCCCACAGCATCTCCTACACTTGTCTGACAGAGGGGCTCCAGCCCTCCCAGCATCTCCTACACCAGTCTGGCAAAAATCAGTAGAGGAAAACTCCTGCTGTGCTCCTTGTTCTCCCCCGAGCAGGGATTCCAGCACAAAGCTGCTGCTTATTTCCTGATGAAGCCGTCTCCCTACTTAAGGAGCAACAGATTTCTAAGTTTTCAGGGTTTGCAATTCCAGGAGCCCCTCCTGCCCTTCCAGACCCAGCCTCTTTGTGGGATACTCTTTGCTCCAGCCCCTGTAGCCTTGAAATACTCCTTGAATACCCTGCACCTCGGTTAATGTTTCCAGGGATAAAGGCTTCCTGGAAACCCAGGTGGGCAGAGGGGGGACGACAGCCCCTAGATCCTGCTTTTACTCCATCATAAAAGGTACTTCAGTGCCAGCTGCCTTCTGGATTTAACTGACAGCCCTTCCTCTGAGCGGTTCTATTAGGACAAATGATCTCTTATTGGTAATTTTTTTGGTGGTACAATCCTCCTAGAATGGGCTCGGCTCTTCCAGATGAAAGCTGGTTTGTGCTGGGCAAGTGGGTATTTCCTTTGGCAATTAATTAGCTCAGGCTGGCACATGGATGTGACATTTTCACTCCGGCTGCACGTCAGTCATCAGTTTGAGCTCAACTTATGATCCGAGCCCTAATTCAGCTCTGAAAACTTAATTAAGAAACTCTTGACCTGCCGGAGGGGGGCTCAGCAAACAGCTTAAAATGCCTCCCTAGCTCTTTGAATTTTGAAGAAGCTAAAACCTGTTGTTTTTCCCAGGTATCTTGCGGTACCGAGTGGACTTCCAGGGAATGGAATACCAAGGAGGAGACGATGAATTTTTTGACCTTGATGACTACTAGGTAGTCGACCTGGGTCCGGCAAAACGTGCCTCGCCCCTCCAGCATCCAACCCAAGGAGCAAAACTCATGGTGGAAAAAAAACACAACAGATCCCTGCCTTAGAATTGGAACATTTCCAGAACTTGATCCACGAGCATTGGATTTAAAAAAAAAAAGAAAAAAAAGGCAAAACCCTACACTTTGATTTGTCATAGTGTCAGTACAGCAGCAAACTTACTAAGTTCCTATATGCCACTTGGGACTAATTTAAAAAAGAATCCCAGTTTTTACTTTTACTCAATGGTGAAATTGGTTGCTCTTGTATTTTATGAAAATGATTTTTTTAACCTTCATGATACATTAACTGCTGTAAACCTCTTCCTTCCCAAATTAATAGAAGTAAGATCCTACTGGTTTCTTTTTACTTTTGATTGGAGAAATCAATTGCTGCCTTTTGCAGCCCCCTGACCCATTTACATGGCATTCTCAGCTTAGACTGCAGAAGAAGAAAACCGAAATGAAATCGGAGCCGGTCGTTCTCTTCCAAAGAATGAGGAGGCCCTTTATATACCCAGAGTGCTGGCTTATAAATGTGTGGCTTTGCAAATTCAGGTGGTTTTGGGGGAGGCTCACGGGCCAAACGGGCTTTAATGTGTTTGCAGACGCAGCGCTGCTCGTACAAAGTAGGAACCGCGCTTCCTCGGTCGCAACGAAAACGCTGCTGAAGTCTTGGGCTTAATTTGGATTTGAGCAGTGCAGCCTTTCAGGATTTATTATTAATTAATTTTTTTTTTTCAGTCTTGACAAAAAATAAACATGCGATTTAAGTGAAGTAAGGTACACTTTGCTTTGTTCTGTTCCTCAGAAAAAATTTTTGGTCGGGTTTGTTGGTTTTTTTTGTTGGTTTTTTTTTTTGGCTTTAGGACTGCGTAAGGTTTCCTTGATTATGTGAATTTGAACCCACAGCTCTTTAATGGAAGCGGGTATTTTACAGGGCTAATTAGTGAGGAGAGTCCTTAATGGGAGCCTTAGTGCTGGTGCATTTGGAGCTTTTCCTCCCCATCCGTTGAGCTTTAGCAGGACCCAGTGGGGCCATCCATGTCCCAGCACTAAGGTGTTCTGCTCCCTTGGCCCACAAGTGTCCCGTGAAGCTGATGCTGAACTTTGTTGCGCCCTTAATGGGTTCAAACTTCTGCTTGAAGTTGCATCAAGACTGGAGGAAGCTTATTTTTTTTGTCCTGCCTGCTCTGTGGAGCGTTTCAACCGGCTACAAGTGGCGAAGGGAGGGTTTTTCAGACAGTCCCTCAGGCAGAGGGGGAGGTGGACCTTGGCACGAGATAATGCACAGGTATTTGCTTTATTTTTTTGGGTGTTACTGGGTTCCCCAACATCATGGTGCCCCAGGGGCTCTGTCCTTGGCTGGCTCTGGTGCATCCCTCAAAAAGCAGCTTCTTTTCCAAGCTACGTACCTGCCTATTTTTTTGTTGTTGTTTAATTTTTAATTTTTTCCGATAATCCTGTTTCACTTGAATTGAGGGGGAGCTTGTCTTAAATCTTCTGCCACGCTGTTCTTTGAGGTCCAAAATTCCTGTCCTTGTGAGCAATAGAGTTTGTCACCCCAGTTTCCAGCCCTGCAGAGGGCTTTGCTGGCCATTTCCCATCTCTCACAGAAGGTGTGACTGGGTGTGCTGTAGATTGGTGCAAAAACCCAGCTCTGAGCACATTTGCGGGTCTTCACAGCGGTATGTTCTGGATGTTGCCATTGTAAATGGGTCTAATGTGACATGACAAGACCAGAAAAATTGGATGTAAATTTACTTTTTTTTTTTTTTTTTTTTGGAATATACTGCTTGTTGTTTCACATGATACATTAGGGTATGCAGCTCCTTTTTTTTTTGTAGTTTTTATTTTTACTATTTAAGTTTGGAAATGATGCCAAATTTTTTTGTATTTCTTTAATCAATGTGTTCTCTTCAGTGATATATATTGCATTATATATTGATGTGTATATCAATATATACTGATATGTATTACACTTACACATACAAACACGTTAAAACGGGGGTGAAAAATCCTAGCCTTCGCATACTATTATAGCCTCTGCAGAGAGATCCCAAGCAGTGATATCTTGGTGTTGTGATGTACAGAAATGGAGAAGAGTATTAAACCATATTTAAGAATATAGTACGGACTCCTGAGTTTTTTCTTTAGTCCAGGAAACACCTGCTTTAGGCTCAGGTCGGTGCCTGGTTTCTCAGTTGGGCTTGAACATTGTGGGGTTTATTTTCATCGTAGAGAGTTGTTCTTTGAAGCCACAGCAGAAATCTGACTTCAGAAAGGAGGAAAAAAATAAAAAAAACAACTCCAAGAGCTCGAGTTCAGAGGGAGTTGTGCTGTGAGCGTTCACCTGAGGTGGTGTTACCTGAACAACTCCAGGAAGGTGAAAAATACCCCTTGGATGCAGGGACTTGCCCTTAATATTCCAGTCGCAGAACATCTAGGTGATGGGGTTGGGGTTTTAATTTTTGGTTTTGATTTTAAGAAGACTTTGTTCCCCACCTCTTAGTGCGGGACAAACCCAGATCAGAAGGATGACTCTTCCAGAGAGGACCTGCCTCCTCTGCTCGCTGGGAAAGCGATCTGTAAAAAAAAAAACATCATTAATGTCAGGAATATTAATGGCTGCTTTAAATCCCCCACCAGCTCCTGCCTTGCTCCGGCTGAAGTTGAGCATCCACCTTTTTGTCCTGCTTGTTCCCCACCTCTTAGTGCGGGACAAACCCAGATCAGAAGGATGACTCTTCCAGAGAGGACCTGCCTCCTCTGCTTGCTGGGAAAGCGATCTGTAAAAAAAAAAAAACAACATCATTAATGTCAGGAATATTAATGGCTGCTTTAAATCCCCCACCAGCTCCTGCCTCGTTCTGGCTGAAGTTGAGCATCCACCTTCTCCTCCTGTGGTACCGGGGCAGGATCTGTGCCGTGTGGCTGCCTGTTCCCATTCCACACAGCCTCATCCAGCAATGGGTTTTCCTGGGAGCTCGGGGGGAATCCAAATTTTGTCCTCACCAGCCTTAGCTCCGCAGTTGTGGGGTCCCTGGGGACAGGTTTTGGAGATGTGACGTTTCTGCTGGAGCAGAAATCAGAATGATAGCCGTCTCGTCGGTCCAGAGAAGCGATGGGCATCCAGCTGGTGGTGCAGATGAAAGCGTGGAGCTGAGATCAGCACAAAATATTTAAAAAAATTAAAAAAAAAATTAAAAAAATATAATCCCCTCAGTCAGCCTGCGTCACCGGAGAAGCCATTGCCTGCAGAAAGCTACCCACGCAGTCACACCAGTTGGTGTAACCAGGGCCTCTGGATGTATATTGTTTTCAAAAAACAAAAAACCTCAGAACTATTTCTCAGTTAACCCTTTGCTGGCAGCAGCAGAGCTGGTTTGTGTGTTTCGGAGCCCGGCTGCGGTGCAGGGATGCCCCAGTGCTTTCCAGCTCAGTGCCACGAAGCCCCAGAAGCACCTGGAAGCTGCTGTTTCCTCGTGTGACAATCTCCCTGCCTGCTTCTCGGGTCTCTTCCCCTTTGCTTTTTGGTGAGAAAACACAAATCCATCCAGTCTGGGGGAGCCCTGTATCCCCTCTGTGCATGCCTGGTGCCCTCCAGCTGCCTGACTGCAAAGGTGCTCCCACCTCTGCCTCCTCCCAGGGGCACACAGAAGGATGAAGGTGATGGAGAGAAGCGTGATGAAACCCTTTTTTTCCTTAGAAATGTTAAAAAAAAGGCCCTGTAACCCTGCAGAAAGCAGTTCCTATCACTATGGTTGGGGTGTTAGCACCCAGATTGCTTCATATCAACCCTGCAGAAAGCAGTTCCTATCACTATCATTGGGGTGTTAGCACCCGGATTGTTTCCTATTTGAAAGTGCTGATTTACAGTCTTTTTTTCTTTTTTTTTCTTCAAATATTGCAGAGCACTTTGGGGTCAGGTTGGGTGGGTTCTGCCCGGTGTTTAAACACCATCAGCACTTACAGAGCTCTCACCCTGAACACCCGGCCCCCTCTGGGCTGCTGGATTCCTGCCAGGAGGATTTCGGAGGGGGGTTTGGTGGGGCTGAGTCTGAGCAGCGTCAGCCACGAGTGACCAGAGGCTGCAGGTTTAGGGGGGGGGACAGTAATTACTTCCCCAGAAAGCATCCCATCTTGATTAGCTGGTAATCAAGAGGATAAACAGCAGCATTTCTCATTTCCAGTGCATCCCGTGGAGCTGCTTCTGTGCATCTTGGAGAGGTTTAAGGAGCCCCCCGAGGGTCCTGCCCCGTTTCACACCCGAAGTGCTGGCGGGAGCTGCCTGAAGGGGGTTTTTTCCCTCATCCCAAAGCTCTTCATCGCTCCTAAAAGCACGGACTGTGTGTGCCTCACCCCTCCCCAACACCCCCAGAGTTTTTAATTCCTGTGTAGTGACTCCCTTCTGCTCCCCCCTCGCTTTTCGGTGGGCGCTGGGTGCAGATATTCCCCCAACGCCTCCTTTTGAACCCCTGCTTTTTGTGGGGCTGTAATTAAAGACAGAATTTGCCCTTTAGGACTTGTTATTTCGGGAGCCGGAGCCGTTGTTGCTGGCGGGCTGCGAATGCCATTGTCCCGGGCGGCCCAGCGCGGCCGGCGGCGCTGACAGGCAGCTCTGGAATTTCACTCGGCTATTTTTAGTCGGTGGTGAAAAAAATTGCAACCCCCGGAGTTTTTAATTCCTGCCTAGTAACTCCCTTCTGCTCCCCCCGCCTTCCCCGCCTCACTTTTCGGTGGGCGCTGGGTGCAGATATTCCCCCAACGCCTCCTTTTGAACCCCTGCTTTTTGTGGGGCTGTAATTAAAGACAGAATTTGCCCTTTAGGACTTGTTATTTCGGGAGCCGGAGCCGTTGTTGCTGGCGGGCTGCGAATGCCATTGTCCCGGGCGGCCCAGCGCGGCCGGCGGCGCTGACAGGCAGCTCTGGAATTTCACTCGGCTATTTTTAGTCGGTGGTGAAAAAAATTGCACTTCCAACACTTTTTTTTAAAAAAAAAAGAAAATCTTTGTCAGCGCTTAAATAAATCAAAGGGCAAACCCGGGCTTCTCGCTAACGAGCGGGACGGGGAGGTGACCTTAAGGTGCTGGAGGAGCTGGTGAGGAGGTGAAGCGCGGCCGGTCGCTGGGAAGGGGCTGCCCAGGGGGTGGGACACGTCTCCACAGCCACAGCTACCGGCCAGTCCTGCTTTGTCCCAGTGGTCCGTGGCCGTTGCCATGCTGGGGTGGCCCCTGGCTCCTTGCTCTTCTCCCTGTAGCCCCATCAGGATGGGTCTCCACCGTAGCTGCGTAGCTCCGTGCGTGTTGTCTCCACCCTGGACGTGGCAGCTCTTGGAAAGCCGGGACTTGGAGGCGGGAGCTCCTGAAGGACGCTGTCTGTAAGTCTGGGTGGCTGGATGTCACCGTCACACGTTAGACTATTCCCTTCAACCCCAACAGCAGCTGTTTCAGCAAAAAACAGCTTCTAACCTCAACGCTTTCTTCTTTTTAATGCCAGGGCAGGAGTTTCCTGAGAAGCTGCTCCATCTGTTTGGCCACCAGGTTTCCACGCTGGCACAGAAACCCTCATTCTCCACCAACGGGATCCTCACAACCACTTTTCCTTGTCTCGGTGCTCCCTGCCACGTGCTGGGAGAGTCCCAGGTGGCTGCTTTGCTGCTTGCTTGCCCCCGTGCTCTGACTTCAGGACTTGGTTTGAGCGGGGAGACCTTCGACTGGGCTTGGTTCTGGCTCCCAGTAGCCTCCAGTTACCCCAGAGCTGCTCTGCGCATCGCTCAGGCTCCTACAGCCCCGTGAAGGTAAGGCTGTACCGAGCAATAGCTCCTGGAAGGACAACTACAGTGGCACTGGCCCTGCAGTGGCCAGAAAATCACAACCCTGTGGTGTCCCCAGGGGAGGACACCTGTGGCTGGTGGGGGCTGCCTGATGGTTGCCATCATGATGGTGGTTTCTATCGTGATGGTGGTTTCCATCCATAAAAAAGACATTGAGGTGCTGGAGCGGGTCCAGAGAAGGGCGACAAAGCTGGTGAGGGGTCTGGAGAATAAGTCTTATGAGGAGAGGCTGAGGGAGCTGGGGTTATTCAGCCTGGAGAAGAGGAGGCTGAGGGGAGACCTTATTGCTCTCTACAACTCCCTGAAAGGAGGGTGTAGAGAGATGGGGGTCGGTCTCTTTTCTCAAGTCACAGGCGACAGGACGAGAGAAAATGGCCTCAAGTTACCCCCCGGGAGGTTCCGGCTGGATATTAGGAAAAATTTTTTCACTGAAAGGGTTCTCAGCCCTTGGAATGGGCTGCCCAGGGAGGTGGTGGAGGCCCCATCCCTGGAGGTGTTCAAAAGACCGGTTGATGTAGTGCTGGGAGGTATGGTTTAGTGATGATGCTCCCGGTGCCAGTTTTAATTAAGAAAAAAAAAAGCTGGGAGGTCTGGTTTAGTGATGATGCTCTCGGTGCCAGTTTTAATTAAGAAAAAAAAACCCCTCCATTTCTATCCTGTCTGCCAGGACCTCCCCAGGAAGCTCCCGCTGGCTCAGTGCCTGCAGAAGGCAGCAGGTAACCAGCCCAAAGGATGCTGCTGGTGCTTTGCAGATGAGACGAAGCGTGGGGACTTCCCGTGTGAGACACCCACGTCAGGGGTGCAGCAGGCGGTTGCCATAAACCCAAGTCGCTCCGGCATCGCTTGGGAGCCAGGAACATATTTCTGGAGGGTGGGGAGGGAAGGGAGGGTGCTTTAAACCCTCCTCACGGCTGGCAGTGGGCTGTGGGGACACCTCCCCTCCCTCTGCGCCGTCGTCCCCCTGTTTCGTCACACCCCCGACGTGCCCTCCTCTTCCTCACCCTCTGCCTTTTGCCACACCGACTTCTAGGCTCTGCTTAACCCGCGGAGTTTAACGTGCTGGGGTGGATTCGGGGCTGGATGAATCGTCAACACCTCCCTCCTGTGTCCTCGGTGCATCCCGGGTGGGAGCCAGGTCTCTGGGGTTTTCCCCAGCGTGTTTAGGGATGGTGAAGAGGTGCTCTGCAAAGCCAGGGAGGTCAGGGGACTGCCTTCTCCTGGAGAAAGATGATTCAAGGATTGGAGCATCTCCCTTATGAGGAGAGACTGAGAGAGCTGGGACTCTTTAGTCTGG